GAAATTCGAACTTGACGATGGCCTGAGGTGCACCTAATTTTTTCACTCGATGAAAAAGAAAACATAATGTTCTGCTCAAACGTCGCGTAGTTGACTACGATTTGTCGTACATTATTTATATAACATAAATCCGTTGGTGTATTTTATGCTTAGTATTGTAAATTGACAACGATAACTAATTTTATTTGTTAAAACAGATTTGTTATAGTTCAAATGCTTTTCTTTCATCTACCATTTTCGTCGCTATAGTATATATATATATATATATATATATATATATATATATATATATAAACCCTCGCTACACTCAGGATTCAATACGAGCACTCGCGTCAAACAATAACCTTGCAGCCTCGCATAACAAATAACTATTGTTTGATACTTTGTTTGACAAAAAGTCACAGTTTTTATTTATTAACCCTTTCATGGACGATAAAGGCGTTTACAGTATAAATATTAAAACATCATAGTACAGGGTACCCCATTCCCTTTCAAAAAAACCAACAACGGGTTTTACAGAGTGCGATTTTCAGCACCATCAACGGAACTGTCGGATTGTACCACGGTGAAGTAATGTCATTTCATAGAGAAGTATCAACATTGAGAATATAACCAGAAATAGAAACGAAATAAGCCATCCATCCCTGGCAACTCATCAGGCAAATGGGCCTTATATCACTTTTAAATATGAATTCTCGTATGCGCTGAAATCACAAATTAGAAAGCTGAAATATACAGCGCTAACAACTGACCTGTGTGCACGTCTCCGTCTCCGTCTCCAAAAATATTCTGTATTTACGAGTATTGTAATAAAGACGATATCTTAACAATGGGCGGCTGTTCCATTTGGTGTGGGAAAAACAGCAAAACATCTAATTACAAACAAACGGAATCACACTTCATCGGTAATTAAATATGTAATTTCTCAATTTTCGTCCATTATAGCAAAGTTCAAGTTAAACTGGTCGATTTGAAGGGAAACAATTTACGACACCCGTCAATTGCTTCGAATTCGGGCTGGCCAATCGGAGCGCAGCTATGATTAAGCAGAATAGTTTTCAAACAAATTAAACGACAGTTCGTCTCCATTTCTGGTTATACACTCGGATGAGTATCAACAACGTACTGACAAAATTTAATGATTTACATTCATGGCAAGTACTGATATTTTTGTGTGCGGTACTAAACGTAGGTACTACTATATGTAAGTACTGTCCAGGAAAGGAGTAAGTACATGATACAGGACAACTAGTGAAGTCGTGTCAAGTCATTACAAATATACAAATAGGTACATAAATTGGTGTTCAAACGTGAAACCTTTGTTCAAGGCATTCAGAACTTATGCTAGAGATAAAACGTAAATATTTGTTTGTGACGTCACAACCTTTATGGCACCTCAGAATACTCTATATCTTTAGTGTCAGTTAGAGATATCGATAAATAAATTTCAAATTCATTTTTAACACGCACATGTAATGAAACTATTTTATTCGCATCTAAAATAGCTTTATACAATATCTAGGCTAACATTTAAAAAGATTAATTAATTAATTTAATTTAATTAATACATGTATTTTTATCAGTGAATAAGAACTTGTAGCCATATATTCTCCTCATTTTCTTGGAACCATCGCTCATAGTAATTCTATTGACACTCCATAGAGGTTACTTTGTAATTATGATTATATTTGCTATTCTGTTAAGATCTAGTTGCAATGGCAGTTGAGTCTCAGTGAAATGGCAGTGATGGCATTATTCATTCACTTAATTGCTAAAGATCGATGTTTCCTTACTAAAATTACCAGAGAAATTATTATGCATATATTAATTTTTATCTTGTTTATGTACAATTTTGTCTTCAAATTAAATATGCACAATATTAATACACTGCGCCATGGACTCGCCATTGAAGAGCAGAATACCAAAAAAATTGCAATGGCAGTTGAATAGCCCTCCTCGTCATAACTAACGCATTTGTATTTGGCAACTTTCGAGATAATAATAACGCATACACTCGACATAAGGGCTATGGCACTAGGGAAACCCTGTGTCGCGGGTGCCATGGACACACAAATAGACAATTACAAATTACACCCAAACTCACGGGACAAATAAATGTAGGCCATACAAATATTTCTCCCGGCCCGGGAATCGAACCTGGGACCTCTGCATGGCAGTCCAGCATGGTAACCGTTCGGCCATGGAGGCAGATATTGGCACCTAAAGTTTTTTTTTCTTTGAAAAATGACATATGCGCTGATTTTGCTTGACAATAAATCTGAAACTAAATAAGTTATTAAAAAACTGCTTAAGGGGGTTGTCGATCTTGTTTTGATGATTCCAAATATGTTAACAATACAATTTCGCCAAAAAGTCGAATACGTGATGATGAGGAGGGCAGAGCAGTTCGATGGCTAGTCTATAAGAATTACTCTTAACTTTTAGCAGAATACCAAACGTACAAAATCCTGCCATTGACACTTTCGACACTCAACTGAGATTATTTAAAGTTAACAGACTTGGATCCCAGCAAGATTGTTAGTATTTTACAAATAACCCTGTATATATGATACTAGCTGGTGTCCGTGACTTGGTCTGCATAGAACATCGAGTATACAACCAGAAATAGAGACGAAATGTCATTTAATTTGTTTGAAAACTATTCTGCCAAATCATTACGATGACTACTACGCTCCTATTGGCCAGCCCGAATTCGAGACAATTGACGGGTGTCGCCAATTGTTTCACTTCAAATCATTGACTTACAATTATATGGACGTCGGGTCCGCGCTAAAAAGTGTCCGCACTTGTAAGGCGCTAAAATCGTATACAGAGCGCCAAACTCCGCTTTAGTCTTCATTTGTTCGATTGACAGCGCGATACTGTGATGACATTACAATTAAAATTTCGAATAGGTTGACTTGGGACATTTTTTTCGTGGTTTTTGTATTAGACCCGTCGTCCATTTATTTGTAAGTCAATGCTTCAAATGGATAGTTTAACTTGAGCTTTGCTATAATGGACGAAAATTTCAAAATTACATATTTCATATTTAATTACCGATGAAATGTGATTCCGTTTGTTTTGTAATAGATGTTATGCTGTTTTTCCCACACCACCGAATGGAACAGCCCCCATTGCTAGAGATATTATCTTTATTACAATACAGAATATTTTTGGAATAAGCGGAGACGTATACACAGGTCAGTTGTTGGCGATGTACTATTTCAGTTTTCTATTTTGTGATTTCAGCGGAAACGAGAGTTGATATTTAAAAGTGGTATACGGCCCATTTGCATGATGAGTTGCCAGGGATGGATGACCCTTTTTTCGTCTCTATTTCGGGTTATATACTCGATGGCATAGAATAAGTACCTCGAGTAGCCTACTGTACTATACCACCTACTATACTAATTGTCTTAGTTTTATTGGTATTTCTATTCAAACTTCCATCCCCTTTAAAAATTTTCTTTTACAATAACAAGTGACTGAACGAACAAGTCGTGCGCCTGATGGTAAGTGATACGCCTATCCATAAGTTGCGGTGCCACTCAGAGCTTTAAATCGCAAAGATTTTAGGGGCACTGCCACTGCACCCGTCACCGCGAGACATAAGTGGACAAGTCCCAAGTGCCGGTAATTCCACCTTTACCCTTCTAAACCGGAACTTATTTTTGTTACAAAAAGTAGCCCATGTTCTTTTCCTAGGTTCCATCTATCTCTACACCAAAATTTATTAAAATTGGTTAAGTGCTTTAGGTGTGAACGTAACAGACAGAGTTACATTCATAATATTAGTTTGGATGTACGATGGGCAAGTGGGTATAGGCATGTTCAACCAACAAACTGCCCTAAACTTTGGCGGGCGTTGAATTTGTAGTCAAGACTTATTTTTATATACCAAACGATTTATTTATTTATTTAGATCCGAAAAAATAGTTTCATATCCAACGTGCAGTAATCAAGATAACATAGGAACTCGTTATATTCACGTATTTTTTTTACGACGAACAAGTCGTGCGCCTGATGGTAAGCGATACGCCTGTCCATAGCAGTTGCAGCGCCACTCAGAGCTTTAAATGGCAACGATCTGAGTGATACTGCCACAGCGCCTGTCACCCAGAGTTATAAGCAATTGTCGGTGTTCCACATATATCGATATAGCTACAAGGAGCTACATAGAGTGTTAACCACCAAATATTAATTAATTAAGTATTCTATACATATATGAGAACACAACATACTACATTATATAAATATTTATGTAATTTATTTAAGTTCACTCGTATATTCGCGACACACAAGTACTTACTTGGTTTTAGGGTCCACTGAAAATCAGCGTCACAGCCATTTCTCGACGCGGTGACAATAGCTGAGTGGGATCCTTTTACATTCACTCTCATTGTGTAGAATATTTAACGTTTACTTTGTTGTTGTACATGATTTTATCTTTATTTCATTTTTTTTGTTATTTTATTTAAATTTTTGGTTTAATTTAGGTTCACCTTACTTTTGTATTTCTTAATGTGTATTTTTGTGTTGTGGCGTAGTAATAAATTATTTCTATTCTATTTTATTCTAATTACTTATTCGAATTCCGGATATCCGGAAATGGTTTTACTGCATCGTAGGACAAATCTACTGACCTAAGAAGACGATGGTAGATTTTGATGTAATTCTAATGGTACCATGTAGAGAAAAGCAGTACATAACTGACCTTTTTCCAAAGCAGAATAAAAAAGTAACGAGAACGGTCACTCTCCGCCCCTCCCTAGTTTTAAATACCGCACTGCGCCCTGCATATTGACAGTCACATTGACGGAACGGCAACAAGGCTGTCAGTAATCATGGCACCATTAGAATTACTTTAAAATCCAACTCTGACTTCCTAGGTCAGTCGTTTGTCCTACGATGCAGTAAAACTATTTCCGAGAATCCGGAATTCGAAAAAATTATTAAGTAACATTTGGTGGTTTTAACAAGAAACTATACATGTATCTAAAATGTAACTATAATATGTGGAACACCTTTTTCCGACCCATGGTCATAAGTTGACAAGTCCCATGTGTGTGTAATTTCACTAAATTGATTGAAGCAATTTTTTTTGTTAAGTCTTCCCTTCAAAATCTCAGTTTACAATTACCCTGACTGATGACAACATAAACTATTTAGGCTGATTTTAGCTCAACCTGGCGGAATGGTATTGGTCGTAGATATCTTGGAATATCTTCCTGCAGTTCATTTTGATTTTCATTTTGGAACATAGTAGGAACACGCCCGACAGTTTTCTATGCAGCGAGTAGATTTCCTCAGGAGGCGGGCAGAGCCGGTGGCTGAGGATCGTAGGTACCAACGCTTGAATACGCCGAGTGGTTTGTTGAGCGCCAAAGTCGAACTCTCCCTCGCGCGTGAACACCTCGCCCATTATCATCACAGTTTCAACGTGGGTTTCCTCCATTATCTGTAATTTAATCAAATTTTTAGAAGAAATAAAAACAGTCCAGTAGAGCTCCTTAAGAAAGAGTTCGTCCACGTAGTACTGCCACATTACCTTTTTTTGCCGCCAAGCAGTAATGGCACATGGGACTTGTAAGTCATGTCTCAGAGTGACGGGCGCAGTGACAGTGCTCCATAGATCTTTGCAATTTAAAGCAAGTTGTGGACAAGCGTGTTGCTTACTATCAGGCGCACGACTTGTTCGTCCCGTCACTTGATATTTAATTTTTTTTTATAATAGCAAGTGACGTCACGGGTTGCACAAGTCATGTGTCTGGTGACAATCTACAACAGGCCTGTCGATAACAATTGCAGTACAACTCTGAGCTTTATATCGCAAAGATCTGAGAGACACTGACACTGCGCCTGTCACGCTGAGACATAAGCTGATAAGTCCCATGTGCCTATAATTTCACCAACACGCTTACCCTTCAAAACCGAAACGCAATAATGCTTGGTGACAGAAATAGGTAGGTAACTTACCTGGACTAACTCTTTCACCAGAAGCTCTACTGCTACTTAATTGTTTCAGCGGAGGGAAGTTTATAAGTATGTGTAACTCGATAAAACTTCCAGATAAAATCACTATGGGATATTTGATATGTAAGTTCTTTATGGACTTGATCACATTGCTTCAATTTATGCACCGTTAATTTGAGATGCATTACATGCATTGTACGTACAAACTTCACTAAATAATTCAAACTTCATTCACCCATTTTTCGAAATAAATACTATGTGAAAATTTAACTTCGAATGTATTATCTCGATTATTTTAAATTTGAAATAGGGTTGAGTCCATGTTTTAGTATCATGATATTATTTTTTTTAAACTACTCTACTAGTTTGACATATTTTTTTATAATACGAAAAAGTCGTACGCATGATGGTAAGCTTCACGCCTGTCCATAAAAGTTACAGTGCCACTCAGAGCTTTAAATCGCAAAGATCTAATGAGCACTGCCACTGCGGCCGTTACGCTGAGACATGAGTTGACAATTATTAATACAAAGATCGAACACTAAGAAAAATTCCGTCGATCCGGCTGCTATTTGCAAGCAAACACGGTAATGTGATGGTAAATGTGCATATATAAGTACAAGTGTGTTGCGTCATTTCTGACATACAAAAGTTCTTTACAATATTATAGCATTTATTCATTTATAGCAGAACGGATTTTTAAGTTTTTATTTTTGGCTAATGGGTAACTATGCCAATGCCACGAAAAATATATTGACAGATCAGATGTCAATGTGTTACAATCCCTTAGAGGATGGAAAAAAAATAAAGGTACAATCCAAATCAATTGCAATGAAGTTTTTGAGTATTCTAGCGTTTAAGTGTTGCTCCTTTTTGTACTTTTTTTTAGTAGCGCGGTGTTGCTGATAATTATTGATACACTCAATTAATTAAAAATGCTAAATTGGTTCTGATTAAGACTTTCAGTTCAGGAAAAAGTTGAGGCTCGGTGCGGTCTCGAAAATCCCGGTAAAAACGAGATTTTCTAGACTACTTTTACTTTTGCTCATAAACTCGACATTTAGGCAGTCAAAACAAGGTATTTTAATACGGTACCTACTTTATTAACTCAAATTATAAAATAAAAAATGTGAAATAAATCGAAACAAAGATCAGTAATTACAAACGTTCGGAACATTCAAGTTCCGTTTGTAACTTACCGCACTCTTGTGACATAATGTACCATTAGATTCGAAAAATATATTCATTACCAAACGTTAGCGATCCCGCGAACTCAAGAACTATATTTGATAAATGATCATTTCAAAAGGTTAAGTGCGACCGTGTCGGTAGTTACCTTCGACTCGTATCCAGTGAGGAACTTCATCTGTTTGGACATGCGCAGGACGGCGGATCGGTCGTTGTCAGAAGCCGCCTTAATGATCTCGATGTACTGGTCCATAAACTCTTTCGAATACTCGCGAGTCGCGCCGAAGTCCAATAGTATCACCTAATTACAAAAAAATCCTCAATATTACATTGAATTTAGTGTAAAGCGATTTGTAGGTTACCTGTTGAACCCAACATTATGTTATTATTAACCGACTTCAAAAAAAAGGAGGAGGTTCTTAATTCGACTGGGTTTTATATATTTATTTTTTTGTATATGTATTACGCGATAAGTCCGTCGTTTGTGAATCGATTATGATGATTCTTTTTTGTTGGAAATAGGGTACATACCTCAAGATGTGGTCCCATTTAAATTTGAAGTAAATATTCCACCTCTAAGGGTGGCAAACTAAGGGATGATTCTGTTTTCACGTACTTGCTGGTCATCGATTTCAATAAATCCTGGCAAATACGAGATGAAATTCCACGAACTTTTGAGGTCGGTTTTTTTTGTACTCTGTATTGAGATTATAGAACATTGACTCGAGTTCGTCCAGGGTAGTGCTGCCCTGTCTGATTGACAGTAATGTCAGCATTACTGTGTTACGGTTTTGAAGAGTAAGGGTGCGGGTGAAATTACAGGCACATGAGACTTGTTATCTTATTTCTCAGGGTCACGGGCGCAGTGCACTTGATATTATAAAAAAAAATATTTTCTTCATTTAAGTTATGCATCGAGTATACAACCAGAAATAGAGACGAAATGTCATTTAAATTGTTTGAAAATATTCTGTCAAATCACTGCGCTCCGATTGGCCAGCCCGAATTCGAAACAATTGATGGGTGTCGTCAGTTGTTTCACTTCAAATCGACCAGTTTAACTTGAGCTGTGCTATAATGGACGAAAATTACATATTTGATTACCGATGAAATGTGATTCCGTTTGTTTTGTAATTAGAGGTTTTGTTGTTTTTACTACCGAACGGTAGTTCGGTAGTGTGGTAACACTACCGAATGGAACAGCCCTCATTGCTAGAGATTATACAGAACTTTTTGGAGTATATGGAGACATACACACATGTCAGTTGTTGGTGCTGTAATTTTTTCAGATTTCTAATTTGAAATGAGAGTTGATATTTAAGTGATTTATGGCACATTTGCCTGACGAGTTGCCAGGGGTCGCTGGCCCTTGTTTCGTCTCTATTTCTGGTTTTATACAGTCGATGATGTTATGTGTCAACGGACGTGCAATTAGCAGTTTATGAAAAGGTTATCTTCTGCCTATGCTTTGTCGCCGATCAAATTTTTGCTTACTGGGAGTGGTTTTATCTAGCTAAGAAACGTTTTACAAGAATAAAGGAAACGCCTAATAAATTTTAAAATTAAATAAAAAAAATTACCCTAATACCTGTTTAGTGGTGGTGTTGTAAAAGAAGTTGGCCCAGTTGGGGTCGGTCTGCATGCAGCGCAGTACGAACATCTCGCGTAGACATAACTGCATGATTTTGTAGGCGATGTCGTGGCGAACGTCGTACGGCGCGTCGAACAATTTGTCCAGAGGCGTGCCCTCGATTAGCTCAGTGGTTATCACCTCCGCAGCGCACAGATTATCTACAGTCAGTAATTTTTTATGTTTTCAAATAATATGCCAGACAATTGCACTATTCACGTGATCCCAAAATCCTGTACTATGAGTACCATGAGTAATGGAATTGACTCCGTGTACTACCCACAGTACCAAGAAAAAGTTAATTTCTTAAACGTGGCGTGCACGAAAGAAGCCTCCCCGCACGACGTACCATTCCCTTACAGTACACCGATTGGCAAATTTCTTTCATCACGATGGTAAGCAAATCGAAAAGACTGTCCAAAGTATGACATTTGTATATTTATTCCACCGTTATTAAAATTATTTTTGTTATTTTGACATCTAGTTACATTTTACAATTATTATCATTAAAACTGATTCATATAACTATCACCGCGTTTAAATTACTGACAGACTTACTAAATCCATGTGTGCACGCCGAGGTGTTATTAATTATTATTGAAAAAGAATTGTCACACCTGGTTTTAGTCTGTAGAAGTGCATGTGAGTGAATGTATAATATACCTTCAATATTTGTATGCCTAATGCATCGAGTATATAACCAGAAATAGAGACGAAATAGGGGCCATCCATCCCTGGCAACTCGTCAGGCAACTGGGTCTTATATCACTTTTGAATATCAATTTTCGTTTGCGCTGAAATCACAAATTAGAAAGCTGAAATAGTACACCGCCAACAACTGGCCTGTGTGTACGTCTCCGTATATTCCAAAAATATTTTGTATTTATTGTACTATAGATAATATCTCTAACAATGGGGGTCGTTCCATTCGATGGTGTGGGAAAACCAGTAAAACATCTAGTTACAAAACAAACGGAATCGTTCTTCATCGATAATTATTGCAATTTTCGTTCTTAATAGCTCAAATTAAACTGGTCGATTTGAAGTTAAACAATTGACGACACCCGTCAATGGTTTCGATTTCGGGCTGGCCAATCGAAGGGCAGTTATCACAGTAATGATTTGGCATAACAGTTTGAAATAAATCAAAATGTCTTTTCGTCTCTACTTCTGGTTATATTATACTCGATGACCTAATGTTTGGCCGGACACAGTGACACTATGCTTATTTTGTACACGTAAGCTTCTATACAACCTGTGTCGTCACAATTAAATGATTTATGAATTACGATAAGAAAATACCAACAGGCCACACACTAGAAAAGCGTGCCAAAACGATCCGAGCGAAAGCGAAACACGCAAAGTCTTTTTCGCTCCTATTGCATGGATATAAAGGTTTTTCTGACCGGGTCAAGGCGATTCCGTGTGAATAAATGTGGTGAGTCCCTAAGGCGCTAGTCCTATTAGTTTAAGTAAAGATTTGGGTTTTTATTCCTGAAGTTAAAAGACTCCGGCTAGTCTAGACTTAAACTGAAGTTTAAGTCTAACGACTTCGGAGTTACGGGTCAAAGGTTAAAAAAAGTCAAGATTTTTTAATAGGCCTTAAAACACTGAGTCTCTTTCATCACTACTAGTAGGACCGGTTTTCAGTTTAATTACCTATAACATCCGGCACGAAGTACTCAGGGTAGGGTTGCAGCAATAGCTTGAACTTCCTCGTGCACTCGGCCTCTCGAACGTAGTCCACCTCCCAAGCGAGCTCTTTCTTCGCCACCTCCACGATGTTGTCGATAAACATTCCCTTGGGGAACACGTTCCATACCTGCCTTACAATTCCGAAGTTGTACAAAACCTTTACAGAATCACATTTACAGGATGGTATATTTACATTTTGTACCCCTCATGAGAGAATGGCATAAGCGGAGTTACGTCAAACATGTTTATTATTCCATTAGACACAGAAAAATATAACCCACATCCTTTCCAATTATTGTAACTCTATCTACAACATTAATCGATAGAGTTACAAGAATTGGAAGAGGTTATATTATTCTGTATCTAATGGAGCAATAAACGTTTTTGGCGTAACTCCACTTATGCCATTCTTCCGTGAGGGGTGCGATTTTATGGTGGTTCTCCCAGCTACTCAACAATATGAACAACTTTTATATTCTATTTACTCCTTATATCGCGAAAAAGTACCAGCTGTACAATATTAAATGCTCATTTAACTCACCAACACGTGTGTGTGTCTCTGTTTCCCGACTGTTTTCAGAAAAACTCGTACCATAGTCAATTACATCATAGCTTAACATTATAATCACTAATATTATTAATAATACATAGACATCCAAGATAACAATAAATAATCAATTTATAGAATAGATTATTAGATCCCAAAGTTAATAACTATAGCACTTGTGTTATGGAAATCGGAAACAACGTATGGTACAGTCAAGACCACACCAAGCTTGACACTTTAGACCGTTCGAAAAGAAATGGAGCAAAACGGTAACAGAGATAAACAAACTTTTGTCTCACACGCGTCACACTTTTTGAGCTGCACTACGCTTTACTTGTTCGTGTCGTATGGTGACTATAAAGCAACATAGTGTGTGTGGTACAGTCAAGAGCACTTCAAGCTTGACATTTTGGACTATGGACCGTTCTTATTGCAAGCGGCAAGTTAAATTGAAACCTTTAGTGTCAAGCTTAATATTGTGCTCTTAACCCTGCACCACAAACATAATAATAATTATTAATAATATTACTGTAATACTATTAAAAATCACTATTAAGTAAATTTTGGCATAAGAATTAGTATTTAATATTATATTTAATTATTTGACATTAATAATTATTAGACATGGCAAAAACGGCTGATTCTCAATAATGAATTATACTGTTATGCGATTTTTTAACGACTGTTATTGTAAGCTGATGTCAGAAAAGCTGTTATTCTGCCGTTTTCTAGTTTGACAGCGAATGATTTTTTTAAATTTATTTCATGACCATGGATACAAGTCCTTCAGCCGAAGTATTAGACATACATATATATTATAAACATAGAAAGTAATTAAAAAAGTAAGAACATAGTCACAGAACAATATTATTGTGTAGTGTTGCCAGATGGTTGCATTTCTTACATTTTTCGTAACTTTTGACCTTCTTACGTAATACGTAAGTAATTTTTGTTTTTATTAAGGCAATATTCGTGACTTTTGAGGGAATCCAACCATATTTGTTATTGTAAATCTTAAATAGTATGTGCGCACCCAAATTAGACATAAAAGTAACTCAGAGTTTGCGCAAACAAATTAAAATCAATCAATTACTGGTTTTAGCTTGATTTTTCTTGAGTGTACTTTTATTTTTATGGTTTAGGCATATGTCAGAGTTCGAATCCATAGTACCCGTAGCCTAAGGTGCTAAATAAGTACTTGAAGTGTATAATCACTTCAAGTACTTATTTTTTATGCTGTGGAGCGTTGGAGGTAAGATGACAGTGAGACCTTGAGAACGCCGACGAGGTTGTCGATGTCGCTGTTGATACCCTTGGCTACCCCCGGGTATTGAACCTTCACCGCCACCTCCTGCCCGCTGTGTAACACCGCCAGATGGACTTGTCCTGCGCAAAAACAATAATTTAATTTGTAAATGTTTGCGATTCCTTATATCACATTCTTTAAGTACATAGTGAATTTGTATTATTGCGCTTTATTCAGTCGGAGATACCGATTTGGTCAGATATCTTCACAATGACATTTCATTCTGATGATAAATAGAAAATCCTCTTGAAAAACACAATAAGGTATTAAGAGAAAGAGAATGATAAAGTTACCGAAAACCAAATGAAATTGCAGTGCCGGTAACATATGCATTAGGTTCAATTAGGCACTGTAGCCGCTTGATGAGGAAGTCCATTCGATTCCCCGGTATTTACTATATTGGTCATAGTAATCGATTTTTTTCTATACTGGCTTTGGTCTGGGTATTACAGGTAGAATTAGTAATACTACTGGTAATTCCTTTTGTTGTTATTATTATTTACAAAGTAATAATACTGTAAGGTCTGTCTGTACAATATTTCAGAGGAACCCGTCTTATTCAGTCAGTTGCCTGGTCAGAATTGACATCGTTATCTTTTGTTCAGAAGAAAATCGGTCTATCGAGTTCTTAGGTTTTCGCGATTGTTATACATAGGAATGAAACTATTTTTCCGGATTTAAATCGCGTATATTTGTTTTTTCAAACAAACCGACGTTTCGGGCCCTTTACAGGTCCCATGGTCACGGTTGACTGAGGTGGTACAGTCTTCAACCAGTTATGTCTAATATTAATGCAAACCACCCTATTTTTTCACTATAGTTACAATAGTTATTAATTAAATACCTTATTTTTAATTTTACAAAGAAAACATTCCAATTTACGCTACATTAAGTTTTACAAATTATTTTATTGAATGAATTTTTTATTAAGTTTAATTTATTATTAATTATTAATAGAAATTAGAATAAATTAAAACATATTAATTAGTACTGCAGTCTTATGTCTGTTTGGGATTTTTCATTAGAGGAAATACTGGATCCCAAACTGGTGGTACGGAGAAACCATCTTCCCTGTTGAAATTAGGATGTTTTTTAATTTCAATGGCCTCTCGCAGCATCCTGGGCAGATAACGGACTTCTTTTGCAAGGACCTGGGGTTTGTCAAACTTCATTGAATGTGTAGGTTTATCCATGACATGCTCGCAGACTGCAGACTTGTCTAATTTTGAGTTTCTGTCAGTCTAGTCAGTCTTTATTTCTGGTCTGTCAGTCCGCTGTTCATACATGGAGATTGAACACGACAGTAAAAAAATGTTGTGTCGAGTACATTACCTTTTTATTTATTGTTTCTTTATTTCGCGATTTTAGAATTGTCTCCACTGTATTATCACTTATAATTGCTGATACCGCCATTAATTCATCCGTTAGGATTTCTTTACTGACTGGGAATTTATAACATAACTAGTTGGTGCCCGCGAATTCGTCTGCGCAAAGTTTCAAACTTTGATAGGTTAAGTGTCCAATATATATATATTTTTTTGTAATATATCTATATTGTGAATGATTGGATTGGACAGCTAAACTAATGCTCATAATGCATTATCACGTTGTTTTGAATGGTGGGAAGTTGTAAAACTTGAAAGATTTTTATTATATCAAGTGTCGGCACGAACAAGTCGTGCGCCTGATGGTAAGCTACACGCCTGTCCATAACAGTTGCAGAGTCACTCAAAGCTTTAAATCGCAAAGATCTGAAGGACAATGCCACCGTGCCCGTCACCCTGAAACTTAAGTTGACAAGTCCCATGTGCTTGTAATTACACCATCACCCTTCCCAAAATTGGAACACAGTAATGCTGACATTACTGCTTGACGAAAGATATAGTGAAGTGGCAGTACTACCCTGGACGAACTCTTAAGGAGGTCTACTGCTACTAAAGTGGTATCCCGGGTGGGTTTGTTTGTCTCTGACCGACATTTGCGTGGCGGTGGTGCTGTGCTGCAAAGGCGCGTGTCTCTTGACCGCGACGCTTCACTCATACAACAGTCCCGTGCGGACATATTCCATGACTGAATATGCTGTTACCTTCCTCAATGAAACTTTAAAAGTCCAAAGCAGAGTACCTTATTGACTATATAAGTGTTTAGGCTTCAGCTGTAAACTTTTATTGAGAATCAATAAATAAATAAGTGGGCTTTTAGGAATTTTCTTAAACATGAGAATGTGTATTCGCCGCCCTAAAGTTTAGCAGGCTTTGAATGTGTAGCCAAGAGTTATTTTTATTTACCCAACGATTATGTCGACACCTCACACGTAAGTTGTTGTAAGTTAGAATACCTTTTTTGATTTTTAACTTAAATATATCATTTTTTATGTATATTATATGTTCCATATTTAAAGGTAAAGAAATCACTTAGTGTTATGTTTACTTTCAAAAGGATGAAATTAATGATATAAGTTAAAAACAAAAAAATGTATTTTCACTTATAACTTACGTGTGAGGTATTGATTTATTTATTTGATATAGTTTCATAGCCAATGTGCAGTAATCGTAAAACCTAGGAACTTGTTATGTAACATATTTTAACATATCAACTGCCTCTGTGGCCGAACGGTTACCATGCCGGACTGCCACGCAGAGGTCTCAGGTTCGATTGTCGGTCCGGGAGAAATATTTGTATGGCCTACATTTATTTCTCTCATGAGTTTGAGTGTCATTCGTGGTTGTCTATGTGTGTGTCCATGGCACGCGCGACACAGGGTTTCCTAGTGCGGGGCTGTGTGGACACACACTCCACTTATTCGTTATTATTACAATTATTATTAATTACTACACATCAATAGCATATATTTACCAATGGAAGCAGCTGCAAATGGTTTATCTTCAAAGTGTTGCACCTTGTTGCGCCATTCTGAGCCGAGCTGCGAGCTCATCACCTTCTCCACTTGCCAGGAGGGCATGAAATCCGCCGACTGACGCACGCGCTCAAAGATGCGCTGCAGCTCCGGTGATATCATCGCGTCGTCTTGGATGCTTAGCAGCTGGCCCAGTTTTAACGCCGCACCTACACCACAGTGACACTCGTATTAGGTTTCATTTCTCACTATAAATTTCCACTCACTTAACATGAGAAAAAATTACGAAGTATGAGTACAGTTGAAATATCGAACGACAAAGATTAAGTAAGTATTAAATTATGCTACAATAAGTAGGTATTTGCTTATTTCAATTTTACTTCATTCAATCACTAACACGAATGTTGAACAAAATAAACAAAGATAAATAGAACGGGCAAAACTAGAAGCGACGACGTGCAAGTAGTTTAAGTAGAACGAGACGTTTGGTACTTTAAATTATTATTTTATTATGTTTATTATTTATAATGATAATTATTTTTTGTTTTCTTAATTATAATTATTTCATTTTTATTTTATTATGTTCATTGCGGGCCGCCCAGAAAGGCGTGCTGTAGAATTATATAACTACGGCATATATCTCTCACGATTCGGCCTGTATAACCACAATGCTTGCGGAGTTCACATTTATTATTCATTTTTTTTATTTATAAAGACTTTTACGCTGAGTTACAAACACTTTTTACGTTACAATTTTACGTTACATTTTAAATGTTTAAATTATATCTTTTTACTCTGCATACCACTTGGCCTAGGCCTCCTCCAGATCTTTCCAGTGCGCTCTATCAAGAGCTACTCTTCTCCAACATGGGCCTGCAGTTAGCTTCAGCTCATCCTCCCATCTTTGATGTTGACGCCATCTGTATCGTTTTCCATCACGTGGGTACATTGGTGACTACTTTGCTCTATTTTTCCGGCCGACGCAACAAATGAGTCCATCTCCATTTTGCCAGATCTACCTTTGAAAGCACATTGATTAACTTGGTTCGTCTCTTAATACAGTCACTCCTCACTTTTTGAATTTTCCTCAGGCCGAGTTTGCTGCGCTCCATTGCCCGTTGACGCGCCTGTAGCTTGCTTCTGTGTACTTTATTTAGCGACCACGTTTCGCACCCAAAAGTCAGGCATGGAAGAATGCATAGGTTGAAAGTCTTTATTTTCACAGTCATGGGTAAGTATTTGCTTTTCATCATCTCCTTGCCAGTCTATTCTTAATTTCTTTGCGCATTTGATCGTTACGAGAGATGATACAGCCAAGTGTATTGCTCCACAGTTTCTAGAGGTGTCCCATCTATGCTTATTTTGACCGTGGACTTGGTATTGGTCATTACTTTCTTTAGTCTTACTAATTAATATTCATCGGAAAACAATATTTTTGCTTTCCATGTTTAGTGAGTATAGCATCATTTGTAATCGGGTGAAATATCACCCGGAAAGCTACAGAGCATCAAATCGTCAGCGAATCTCAGGTTCCACCCATACTCCCCCATTGCAACTTAAAGATATTTTCCAGCACTTCTCAAAACAGTTTCGGTGAGATAGGGTCTCTCTGTCTGGCGCCTATCTGGATTAAAAAACACATGTCCTAAAGATTCTAATTTTACTCTAGCTTTTTTTTTTTACATTAGTAAAGCTACAACATTAGTTGTATATATTTTTTGATTATGTTAATATATATTATATTGGTCACTTATCCCTTGAGTTTTCAAACTTTCCCAAATGAAATTATGGCTGAGACTGTCAAAAGCTGTAGAGAGTCTACGAAGCCAATAAACAGTGTGGTAGGTTATTTTCACGGTATTTTTCGAAGGTCTGCCTCACAGTCTGGATGTAGTCTACAGTGAAATAATTTTTTCGGAATCCCGCCTATTTTATGGGTCGGTTCTCGTGTAGCTTCTGACTTATTCTGACTAGGATAATTTTTGCGAAGAATTTATAGGTATTAGACATAAGACTGATTGGTCTATAGTTTTCGATGTTGTATTTTTCGCCTTTTTTGTGTATCAATGTTATATGTGACGTTCCGTATACACGTACATGCCCAGTAAATAGTATCTTGTTGAATATTGCTGTTAGTGCTGGAGCAAGCTCTTCCATTGTTCCTTTTAATACTTCATTTGTTATTTTCTCGAGGCTTAGTGATTTTTATGTTTTTTGGAGGTCAATGTTTTTTGGCTTCGTACAGCGTTTTCGACCTCACTACGCAATATGGGTAGTTCCGATCCCGTAGTCGTATTTCCTGTTGACATTTTATTTAATTCTCCTGCTTGTGGGGTGTCCTTTCTTGAGTACAAATTCTTGTAAAATTCCGTAGCCAATTCCTTTATGTCCACTATTTTTTCTTGCTAGTATATCTCCTGATAAATTTTGGTATCCATTCCTTGTCAATCTCTTTTAGCTCCTTGAAGGCCTTTTTTACACTTCCTGCATTAGTTATAAGTTTTTCCAAAGTTCTTAGTCTCCTGTTTTTTCCGTCTCGTCTGATACTTTCCCGTTTTTTCTTGTTAAGATCAGCAATGGTTTTTGCGACATCTCTTTTGTTCTTTCATATCCTGTATAAATTTAATTGTGGAATCGCTTAGTCTTCGTTTGGATGCTTTGGTGTTGACTGAGCTATTCAAATTTTGTAGCTGTTGCGAACGCAAAGGAATTTTTGTAATAAAATTAATATAACTTTCGAAGCAGTAACTAAACGCTCGTCAAGGGCACATTAGGTAGGCCGAATTTCTTTTCTACTTATTCCAACCAGAGACAGTGTAGTAGGGAGGAATGGAAAAAAAATCCACTGGTCCCCACCAGGTAGGACAGTTGGTAGGGACTAGTGGAATGGTCGTTTGTTCCGGCTGCTGGTGTTTATTAATTGTTAAATTTCAATCTGGTTACTTGGCGATTTTGGCAAAGTTTCTATATAGGTATTTGTTTAATTTTTATTATTCGGCGCTCTCTCAAGGGATAGTCGACGGAAATATTGGGGAATTTCCTCACGTAGTTTGATCGTCAGTTCATTCCTTTTCTCAAGCACTTAAATTCAATTCACACAAATATTCACAGTTTCCATGTTGCATTGGCTAGCCCATAGGCTCCCAAACTTAACCAAGATAAAAAAATTTCAATGCCTACCGCCACCAAAAATAATTAAAAACATATATTTTTTATACACATAGATAATTCTGGCTTTCTTTCAATTCAAAGAACAGAGGGGCACTGACATTGTGCCCGTCACCCAAACGCATATTCTCGCACCTGTGAGTTTCTCGGAATTTATGTGCGAAATTTGATTTGAAATTTATCATGAGCCTTTCGGTGAAGGAAAGCATCGTGATGAAACCTGCACGTAGACAACCCTCAGAAAACGTGTGATGTCACCAACCCGCATCGGGCCAGCGTGGCTGACTATGACGGGACATATAAATGGGTTGATGATGATGATGTTACAGGACAAGACTAACCTCTAACTTTACACAGTGTGTCAACAATCCTCTCTGCGTTGGCTGTAGACATGAAAGTGTTTGCAGGCTCTTCCTGTTTTCCAGTTACTGACTGAATGGTGTTTCGGGCATACTGGGCAACAGTGCCCACTCCTAGTCCTGCAGCTAGCGAGCCAAATGAGAACATGCGCCCCAAACGCGACGATGGCACTACACGCGCCTTAGAATTCTCACTTAACTGTTAGAAGAAATGTCGAGCATTATTATAATGATTATCTTTAACAACTTAGACAGTGCCAGTGGCAACAAACAGTATTTCAAGACAGTATTTAATCTAAGTGAGGAAATTTTATTTACAAATAATATTTTAATTTTATTTACTTACCTAGTGCAAAAACTAGTCTCAACGAGATTTTAACAATTAATTTAAAACAAAGTTGCGATGGTGATAGCAAAAGTATTAAAAAAGTTTTGAGTTAAAACGTAAATAACTTACAGAAACTTTAATTTTCTTCTTAGCAACTGGCCTTGGTGTACTTTTTTCCGACGTATCAGGCACAGGGGCTTTAATAAAAACTTCGTGTCTAGGGCCCGATTCACTTTGTTTCGCATTCTTTTGCAGCTGTTCTATTGGAGCTTCATATTCTTGAACGACGGGAAATGGTGGTGTACTTGAGCTACTTTGTGATTTTTTCAAAGTTTCAAATGTCTTGTTGAACTCCCTGTTCAATTCTTCTATCTCGTCATTTAATTGAGGATCCATCTCTGTTGGTTCTTTTTGAATGTCAAAATTAGGAGTAGCCATTACGATGTACTGTCTCAGCCCTTGCACAACAACCAGTGATCGTTCAAAGACTTCTGTAGTTAAATCTGGGCGTGATTTAAAAGCTGTGGTCAGGTTAGTGGGGCAGGTCATTAGAAGGGGTTTGATGCTAGAGTTATTCCATATTAGCCGAGCACTATCCTGCTGGCATTTCATGCCTGCTTCAACTACAAGTCGGACACCCCTCACAACACCGATTAGGTCGTTAAAGAGCGACATGGCCTGAAACCGTTTAGTTTGTCAGTATGATTTAATTTTACGTGATATTAATAAGTATATTATTACTCTACATGTTGTATAATAATATTAAACTACACAAGTGAGTTTTGTATTTGTTGCAGTTTTTTTATAATTCATTGTCCTTCACCATCATTATAATGTTATACAGTAATAATAATTATACTTGCTAATAATATTGATACATAATTTGATTTTTTCAGTGCAGTACTAGTAATTAGTGCATAATGAACAGAATGGGATGACATAATGGAAGTTGCATTAGGTGGAAGCAAGACGCATAAATGATTTGAATAGACAGGTGTCGTTAATTGTTTTCACTTCAAAACAACCAGTTTATCTTGAGCTATGCTTTAATATGACGAAAATTGAAAAATTACATAATTTAATACTTAATTACTGATGAAATGTGATCCCGTTTGTTTTGTAATTAGATGTTTTGCTGTTTTTCCCAGACCACCAAAGAGAACAGCCCAAATTGATAGAGATATTATCTTTATTACAATAAATACAGAATATTTTTGGAATATATGGAGACGTACACAGGTCAGTTGTTGGCGCTATATTTCAGTTCAGTTCTGTACTATATTTCAGTTCAAATGAGAGTTGATATTTATAAGTGATATCGTTCCATTTACTTAATGAGTTACCAGGAATGCATGGCCCTTATTGCATCTCTATTGCTGGTTATATACTCGATCGCGGACCACATATCTGGTTCACCTGAGTGGACCATGGGTAATAATTTTTTGCCATAGCTCACCTTCTAGGTATAAAATAGAAAACACAAACTAATACTGGTGGTGGTCCAGCGATTGGACATTTGATTTTGACCATTTATAATATTCATGGTTTTTTAAAAGTATGCATTATTGAAAAGTATGCAATAAATAATATTTATTACGATGATATTTATTTGAGTATTGTTATTTACCAAATTCCACAATTTCTTAAAATAAGTATAGAACTTGTAAATCGTCAGCTAAAGTAAAAACTCAAAATAAAGACACTAAAAAAAACTGGCACTGCTTTAAAGACATTGGTAATGATATTATCACTTTATGATATTGATGCTCCTTAAGCAATAAGATACTGCAAACTTTTTTCTGAATAAAACTAAGATTGTTACTCATTTTTCAAAATAACTGCCATACATCAAGCAACACAGGAATCCATACATAACAAATATTTACATCTAATTGTCAATTAATAGACAACAAAATAATTTGCGAAATAAAACCCTTGTTAATATCTTTTTTTAATTGAAATGTTGTGGCATTTTAATAATAAAGTGTACCACGAGAAAAGCAATTCTCGTAGTACACCTAGATGGACAATGGAGGTGACATATGGGAAAATATTTTTTCCTGATTGCCGACACCAAGGTGAAAGTCAAGTGGGCCGCAGGCTTCTGCAAGCCTATTCCATCAGGAGACAAGTGACATTACATGAATGTTTGTATGAACTTATGCATGATACTATCTGATACCATGTAAGGCAAGCACACCAATGCACGGGATTTAAGGATTGTTTTGCACAGGGCCAAAGGACAAGCCATTCAATTAAGGTAAGCCATTATTGGCGTCTTGTAATAAGAGACAATCCATTATGGAGTGCCTCCAGTTCAGTGATAAAAAACAATTGACTAAATCAGAACAACTTCGAATTTTTCATATACCTTCCCACACTACAATGCATTGAATTGGCTCATGTAATGTCCTTGTGTGAACGTGCATCCTGAGCCACTCCATTAATTTGCCTTGGCATTTAGTAAAGAAAATGGCGTTGCGAATTTTGGCACTTTTCACTAGACTGGCTTAATGGTTTGACTTTGTGGAATGGCTCGTCGATTGGTCTCGTGTAAATGGGCCACTAGAGTACTATACCAGCAGCTTCGGCCAATATTGCATAACAAAAATGTTAATCAATTTCAATGTAAATTAATTTAATTAAATACTTACATTATTAATACTTTTACAAAGTATGGCCAAACAAACACAGAGTGTAATTATAGAAGTTGAAATATAGTTAAGACAAAACTTACATATTCTTCATAAATTTGTGTAGGTAACCTCAATTTTCGATGGTGCCACTTGGAAATAAATTTCGTTAATATATGGTTAACAGACACTTAAGTCCAAAAAGAGCAGGCGAACTTGTAAGTTCAAAGGAAATAGAAATTTGCGGACAGATGTTCAATTTGCCGCTGAGATCGCGAGGGAGCCATCAATGAATGTAAAACCAGTGTTGCCAGACTTTTGCAAATTTAATTCGCCAATTTAAGTGCGCCAAGTAGCCAAGTAGTCGATATTCGCACAAGCCAAAACGTTGCCAATGTTAATTATTTTAAATTCCTAAAAATCAAGGGAAAGCAAGGTTCCCATTCCCCACTCAAGTTTTTAATTCCACAGGCATTTTAATAAGTAGCCTAAAATCACCTTTTCCTATTTAAAAAATTGCCTAAATATCACCAAATCGCCGATCGCTTTTTTGTCGCCCCACGACCCCTCGAAATAGCCTAAATGGCGTAAAATCTGGCACCACAGCACAGTGTACAACAAAAAGAATTCCCAACTCACGAATGTCCGACACAACCAGTGTGTTTCTTATTGATGTGTATAATATACTCTTTGGAGACACAGACCACGCGTGGTGTCACCATTTTTGATAGGAGTCCCTTAGAATAATAACGCAAGAGCGTAGAGGATATAAAAAAATAAAGAAAAGGAGCTGCCCTATCTACGGAATAAACGTACCTACCTAAACCAAAATTGTATCACAAATATGACGGATTTAGTGTTGTAGCATAATCATAGATAAATCAATATCGACATGCAAATGTATGTCTTGAATGGTGAAACTGTTATTTATGTTTGTAATTTGTATAGTTTACTGTAATCAAAGTGCAGAATATGCAGACAACAAATTCAAAATCTCATATCTATCATCCCGGATATTCCCATATGACAATGAATATTGATCTACTTGAATTAAACATTTTAATCATACTTTGATTACTGTAAACTATACAAATTACAAACATAACAAAAACAAACGGCTTCAACATTTAAGCCATACATTTGCAAGTCGATATATTTTTTTTACTGTACTTATTGACTACAACACTAAAGAAATCCGCCATTTGTGGTCATTGACCTTTTATTGGTAGGTCAATGTTTGTGGTGGACATTTTTGGTTTAGATAGGGACGTTTATTTCGTAGATAGGGCAGTTCCTTTCCATTATTTTTTTCCATCCTCCAAGTTCGATTCCCGTGTTTGACATAAATCAATGTAGTGCTATCTCTTTTGGCTTACGACTGCACGCAGTAGTTAAACAAAGACAATAAAATGTTTATGTTTTCAACGTCTAAATGCATCATATACATATCTGATTTATATATGTCAATATAACATGTCATTTGGTTTCCATAGTCTAAGCGCAGGAGTCCCTATAATGCCAACAACGTAATGTCCGCGACACAGCAATCCGCGATACGAAAATGTTCACCCCATCAATTGACGACACGAGAATCCGACGCACACGGCCTCATATTGGTGGAATCTGTCTGACAGTTCGTGAAAAGAAATAGGTCGTGTTCACTTTTGACTTTTTTCCGATCTTCTAAAGTGTTCACAATAAAGCTCAAATTGAGCTCAAATCAAGCGTAAAACGTGAAACGTCAAAAATTATAACCACTGTACTGTAAAAGCACGTCAAGCTTGACACTTTGTATATACTTTGGACCGTTCTTATCGTAAGCGGCATAGATAGGCATGGGTTTAAGTCAAGCTTTGCGTGCTCTAGACCCAGTACAAGCCAATGCTACTCTATCTAATGGAACCAATAAGGTAGTGAAGAAGAAACCTATTGGTTCCATTCCCTACTGATGGAGACATAATAAAAGTCAAAAGAATATTTCGCTTCGTCTGAGGTACAGTGGAGTACGGCATTCCATACAGAGGTAATAATAAATCCATTGTCATGTATACTGATGCTGATCTTGGAGGTGATCCGACCACAGAACGATCAACATCAGGTACGGTATGCGTGTTTTCCAGTGGTGCTATCTCCTGGCGAAGAAAACAGTAGCACTTTCTGAGTCTGCTCTAAAACTTAGCATGAACCTAACTTAGCATATAAAAATGGCACTACCTCACGAAACTCAAGCACGTTCATAGGCGGCACTTTTCTCTTCTTCCTCGAGAATGTTTATTAAAAAAATTAAGGGAACATATTAACGCAGAAAGTGCCCTCGGTGAAGAATATACCTGATATGACATGTACATGTACAAAGCCACTGTACAAGTCAAAGCTACTCTATCTAATGGAACCAATAGGTCTCCAGTGAAGAGGAGCGGGAATGTTAAGGTTTTTTTTTATCTAGTTTTTATTCTTCGTCTATGTCTGTCGTTCCATGCCATCTGTTATACACTTCAAACAAATATATATTTTCAAGCTAACGTTATAAGCACAATCAATTTTTATTTCCATTTTTTTCGAACTTTTTAGTAAAAGAAGTATCCGACAAGTTCAAATGGAAATTGACGGCCGTGATGCGTTGACCGTGGAAGGTAAATCTGTCAGCAAAAGAGTTCAAAATTTAAGAAAATTCCTGAATCCATTATTGTTACACAACGATACGTAGGTAGTACGAGTATTATCGTGTTCTACATTAAACAATACTACGAAGGCTTTTGGATCAGAAGGCCCTTTGAGCAATTGAGAATACAATAACTACATTTTCTCAGAATTAAGTTACTAAGTATACAAATAATTAGTTATTTGCCATTGCCATCATCAGCCATTATTCCACCGCTGAAGCGTCTGCTTGCCCTCTGACGTAGAAGTTTAAAGTATAATTACTCAGTGCAGGGTGGATTTTACATGCCTTTAATAACTTTGTTATGTTTTCTGATACCACCAGAGCAGTCCATTTTAAACTCAAGATTGTCCATTAAAAAGATTATCAGAAAACTCATTTTTAGAGACCCAGGCAGATCTCTCCATGTAGAAGTGTATAATACAATAATTATAAATAACTCAAACTCAAAATGAAATTCTAACCACAAAAGCTACTAAAGCGTGAGTACGTATGTTTTTTGAAATGTGTTCTGTATGTGTGTCAGGTGTTCTAGACATTTTCTTCTTCCTCACTACTGCACTGCATCACAAGCTAAAGCTGCACCCTAGATGAGCACCAGCATTGTTAAGTATCACCTCATCATCACTTCCATTTAATGACGACCCATCTTAACATCAGTTATTATTGAAGCGTACTAACAAGGAGGTTGCAGGCATAGCAAGTATTACCAAGGTCTGGAAAGACATTTATTGATTTTTTTTAGTGGTTAAGTGAGAACAGTAAAATAGTTTTAGCAGTGTGGGACGAGTATATATATATACCCACATAATTGTGAACCATAGATTTAGTATATAGGATGTGGACATTACGTATGTAATTAAACTATAATAATAATATGTAATAAAACAATTTAAATTCCATTCTGGTAGTACAAATAAAGTTTTATTAAGTTATGTACTCAAGAGGTGATAATGAATAATACAGTTAAACATATTTGAGAATTTTCATTTACATTCACAATACATAAAAGTCAGGTTTTGCAATAGTCACTTATGTAGCGAAGCAGACTTATGTTAACTTTATTTAATTTAAAATATACGTTACAAAACCAAACAAAAGAAATAAATAATGGGCAACTTGGCCAGTGTAATAATAATAAATGAGGACTTGGTCCTGGAGATGTGGTTAGGTACGTAGTGTAGCAGACACAAAATCATGAATATTAGACAACACCACATATGTTACTCTGTTGCCAAAGTCAATAATTAAAGTATTTGGGAAACATCGATAGTACCACAAACATCCACGAAGTAATGAGACAATAGTCTTTCGTCGTGTTTCATTTTTATTCTCTGTAAGGGCCGTATTCCAAAACTCTACTCAATACTCAAGTCAGGACGTGAGTATTGCAGTGAGCACTGAAAATCAGACTCAAGTTCTTGCCATTAGGGTCGTATTTCCAGTGCTTGAAATCATACTCAAGTCTGCTCAAGACCTGATTTGAGCATTGAGTAGAGTTCTGGAATACGACCCAATGTCGTATTTTTCTTTGTCTATCTCGCATTTACTTCGTGTAAGTCAAAGACTATAAGTACAGTAAAAAAAAATAATTAAATGCAGTTGAAATTATATATTTATGAAATTACTACATATTTGCAAAATATTAATCAGTATGTCCAGTGTGGCCAACGTGGGATTTATCGCCATTTAGGCTAATCAAGACGAAAATCAGCGACGAAAAAATGTGAAAGGCGACAGGTCGCTTTAGGCTACTTTCGGTTTACAATCTTAAGAATAAAAAAAGCGCACATTAAAGAAAAGATAAGCTTCCCACGAAAATATAAAAAGTCTGTGACATTAAGAAAGAAAAATTGTTTATGGTTGGTCAGTTTCAGCGGGAATTTCCCGCGAAATCTAATAGATTAAGTTTTATTATACGGTTCAAAACAAAGTTTCTCTTGCAACTCCTCTTTAGTAATCTATCTGAACGTAGAATATGCACAAAACGGAAGAAACACCCTGCATCATTTTTAATAACTAACAAAGACTAGACAATATAGATATGCCGAAATAAATAATAAATTGAAGGTGAAGTATGGAATTTGTACAATATACATGCAAATAATAAGGCACTGGATGAGAAGGCTTAGGTGTTCTGGAAGAGAAGGCCTAGGTGTTCTGGGTTGTACCGCGGAGTGAATACCGTTGCCCTTGGTCTCGGGTTTGATTCCCGGTACAACAAATTTTTTAAATGAACTTCCTGAACTTGGGTCTGGTCTGGGTTATGGTAATGCCTATGCTTGGATTCAGTTTCTCTGGCACTCATAAGGAGTGAAGGGAGTTCCGTAGTTTGGGACCAGGTGGTTGGCAACAGAACAAATTGATTCTACCGGGAATGAACCCGGGACCAAGAGCTACGGAATACACTACGCGGTATTACCGAAAATACATAGTAGCAAAAACCATTTTAGGAAAATTAGTTTCCGAAACTGGTTCTACCGGGCATCGACCGACGGGGACCAAGATGTACGGAATTCACTCCGCGGCACTACCAAGAACACCTGAGCCAAAATTATTTTAGAAAAGTTCATTTCCCAAATTGGTTCTACCGGGAATCGAACCCGTCACCAAGAGTTACGGAGTACACTCCGCGGCACTACCCAGAACACCTAGGCCAAAACCATTTTAGAAAAGTTCATTTCCCTAATTGGTACTGCTGGAAATCGAACCTGGAACCTTCTCATGCGTGGTATATGTAAAATCTACAAATCGCTTAAAACACGACCACACACACAGCATATTCCCGTGAGAAGAAACATTCACTTTATTAAGCACATTTGAAGTTCTATATTGTATTGCTATTTCCAAAGTTCGCCGTAAGCAGTCCGATGTCGCTCAGCCAATGTTTGTCTTTCAAAGAAATATATCTAATTGTGGAGAAGCCTAGTCACACTTTGTAGTGCCCGTGGTGGCACAAGCTGGTGACGTCAGGCTGCGCCGCGGTGTACCGCGGGACACAAAGACATACACTTTATTTAGTAGAAATCAAACTATACTGCATTGCATTTTTCGCCCACGGCCGCTTGCAGCAGTTTAGTTTAAAAGAATCTCAGTACAGAGTACTAAAAAAAAACCGACATCAAAACTACGTGGATTTACCTATAATTACCAAGTTTTATGGAAATCGGTTACCGGAAAGTGCGCATACCCAGATTTATACCCTAGTTCGCCACTATACGGAACTTGACACAGGAGATAATAAAAAATCAGTTCTCACTACTCAATATATATTGAGAGAAAAACGCCTTGAATTGGAGAATAGCAAAATCAACAATTAAAATAATTGTTCCTTATAATAAAATTTAGGCGCTATTTATAAAAATGAATCTTCATGCGTGAACAGCCACCCTTAGAGGTGTATTATTTTCTTCAAAATTAAATGAGACCACTATGGAGGTACCTTCTTTCCAACAAAAAGAATCATGAAAAGCGGTTCACAAATACCGGAGTTATCGCGTAACATACATACAAAAAAAGATAAAAAAACATACAGTCGAATTGAGAACCTCTCGAAAAAAATGGATTTTTTCCATGACCCAACACTAATTACATCACTGAAAAAGCTGTGCGAACAGCCAGAGTGAGCAGACGTGTCATATGCGCTCCCAACCCACTCACTATTCCGGCAGGCTTATTACCGAACTTTAGCAACCGGTTGTTAATTGTACAATAGCAACGCGATTGCTACCAGTTGCGATTGCTAAGTTGGTATTACGGTTCGGTAATACGAAAAAGCAACCGGTCGCTTTCTGTCAAAGCATTTTCATGCAGTTTTAGTTTATTAGTTGCTCGCGGGAGGCGCTGTAGTCGACTGGTCGCAATTGTTCGTTCCGTAATACGAATTTATGTTTTGACAGCGATAATCGTGCAACTATTGCTAAAACGACTGGTCGCTAAAGATCGGTAATAAGCCTGCCGAACCTTTTTTTTGACAATGCAATGCTTCAGAAATTTTTTCACATTTAGATGTGGTCTATAATTTGTGAAGGAGTTTCATGTCCAAATAATTATCCAAATGATTTATGTCTTAATGAATTTTTCGGTTGTATAATTTAATGTGCTACATTAAGTAGGTACCCAGCTTTTATTGCCTGTTGCTCCAGCCCATTTCTCCTTTAAATAAGATCCGGCGGGAAACTAAAAAAAATCAATATAAAAACTGCAAATGTAAATCATGCCTGTGATAAAACTAATAAAAAGGATGAAGGTGACGTATAATATGTACGTAAGGAGATAGGAATCATGTAGATAAGAGAAATAAAATCTCCAATCTCATAAAGTCTTCATTTGATGCTCCACGAGCTTACGTGCAATGTAAAATTATAGATACTGTACCTCTTCTATCTATATTTCCTTTTTTTCCATTAATATATCGTTTTTTCTTAAATTGAAAATTAAAAAAAAACTATTGTGAGTGTTGGGACCAATTGTTGGCTTTTAAATACTTGTAAACATTTTATGTTTACACATTGGTACCTACTGCTATAATAAAAAAAATGCTGTACTAAACCAAAACTGGGTTTCTAAATGCAGAGTTTCTACATATCGATAATTTGATTACAACACGCGGACTCAGTACCAAGTGTAATACGACGCTAGTGCAAGCAATTCATTGAGCGTCATTCGAATTGTTCTTTTGACGGCGGCCATGGCTAGCAACCAATGTATATTGTTATTACCGGGTTGCAAGAAAATAGTTTTGTTTCGAAATTATAGTATTGTATTATTAAAAATATTAGAAAATACAGAGTTTTAGTACTTACCGATGAAATAAAATCACTCCCGGAGTATTTTTTAAACTTTGCTTCTTACGCGACATGATATATTGGCAATTTTTTCCACAAAATAATATTGTATCACATTTATGAAGACTGACGCGATGTTGACACTCATATGAACGTCTGTTCTTAAGCCAGGTAACACGGACCCCGCCCGCTAGCCAGTCTATTACTATTTATGTGGTCTGTGCTCAAAACCAATACTGTAAAAACAAAATCTAAAAGTACCGGTTACCGTTAAAAGTGCTTTTTGCAAATAGTGTAAATAAAAGTGCATTAAATTTAATTAATTATCCAAAAATAACAGCCCGAAACTAAAATATAAAAGTATCGGTTACCAGTAAAAGTGCAATAACTTGATATAAGTAGTGTAAGCGTGGTTCTAAATGTGCAGTGCAAATCTCATCTACAATCAAATAGAGAGCGAGACATTGAAAACAAAAGGGCCGGCGACTATATAGCGAACCTGCTACCACCTACACATGACACCCATATCTTTTCTTTAAACAAACTGCAGGAAAGGTTAATGGTTACTAGTTAATTTTCCGACGCTTTCGTAAATCCACTACGTTTTGTCAGAGACGCAGATCAAATGCGTCAAACGACGATTAATATAAATTAAGTTATTTGATACCCTACATTTGTGCATTATAATCACACACCAATCATTTGGAAAATTAAACGAGACTGTCTAGGTATTAAAAAAGTTAAGTACAGTTCACAATAGACACTCTGCTCCCCCTTAGATCGGTTTTTCATGCAAACTGTCAAAATAACTATATTTCTCTTACATAAAATATAGCCAGACTTGTCTAAAACATGCCATAAAACTATTCAAAAACAAAACACATAAATATAAAGAAATAAATATTCCATCCCAATACTCATTCCGGCTAAATCCAAATTCCAAAAACTAAAACTAGACTCTACGCATGCGCAGCTGCGTCATAAACAAATATCCAAAAGCACCGACAACACAACAGTAATACAACACAAGTGATGCAATGAACCCTAAAGGTCACTAAACGAATTTCGAAACCCAAACATCTGCAAACAATTTTCCAAATACACTGAAAATAATCGACAAATGAACTAAACGACTCACCATCCGAACGAAGCAAAAATCCAAAACTGACTTAAGTGTCATAAAACTAACAACTCACAAATAACATCTTCCCACGGGCACGCAGTCCTCACGAATAAAAACATCAAAACTAGAAACTAACCTATGTACAAGCCTAACTTTTTTATTACCGCGAGGAAAATGTGTTACGTATTCCCCGCTGCTGGGAGACGACGGAGATATGTCGGACTCTCTCCTGGGGACTATGTCGGTCTCCAAGAGCATACCCACTAAAAACCCCAAGATGTTCCTGCGCGCACCTGGCGCCAGAGCCGCGGAGTCCCATTCAGATGCCACTGCGACTCCGGTGGTGCAGGTCCGCTTTTGGGCGGACCCGTACACCATCCATAATCATGGGGGGCGACCTGCACGGAGATGCCCCGGAACATTTGGGGCATCTACCGGCGGCGGAAGCCTGTGTAATGCAGGGACAGGGTCTTCCAACCCTGCACCGTGCTGGTGGCTGATGGGACGCAGGCGGTCGGCAAAGAGCCGTCGCGTGCGTCCTCTCCGCCGACGCCGAATGGGGTCCGAGAGGGCGCTGTCTTCGCGGACGCGTTTGACCGCCTCCTTTGCGACATCACGTCCTCGCAGAAGGAGACCATCGCCAGCCATGACCTGTCCTGACCTGAATAGTTCAAATGCAAACAGACGGAAACTACCTATAAAGAGCAATTGCTCACAAAACAAATGAATTATTCTATACTACCTTTGACCACCACGCAATAAGAAGAGACCTAGCCCGTTATGTAGACGAGAACCGGAGGACCCAGTCTTAAAAGAAGCAATTTTAAGTAAGTAACCTTAATGACAATGAAGATGAAGAAAAAGTTCTACGCTATGGCGTGTACGTTATGTAACAATACCAAGATCGACAATGGGGAGGAACGGATGTTTTAAATAGCGGCACAGACCCCGTCAATATGGCAACCAACGTTGGAGCTGCTGAGCTCATCCATCAGCCCGTTCATGTACAAATTGAAGAGCCGCGGCGAACTCAACCCCCCTGCCGAACTCCGCACTCCAATTTGTACACGTCTGACTGAGCATCTGCCCATCTTACTCTATTCCTTTGATGGCTGTACCAATACTTAAATATTGCTGTTAACTCATGTGATGAATTAGTCTCACACTCTAGCTTGTGCCACAGAGTATTGTACGATACTAGGTCAAATGCCTTCGACAAGTCCAGGTAACAGGCATAGTACTGGACAGTCTGCTTGAGACACAGGATAGCGCTCTCTGTGGACAACCCGGGCCGAAAACCGAATTGAGAGTCATGCAAGTTGACTACTTTATCCAGGTGTTTGTCAAGCAGTCCACCCAATACCTTTGCTATCACAGTAGCCAAGGATATCGGCCTGTAGTTGGACAAGTCAGAAGCATCGCCAGTTTTATTCTTTATCACTGGTACAACCATTGTGTACATTAAATCATCAGGTAGATAACCATGACTCATACAAAGTTTGAAAAACAACGCCATAACTCTAGGTAAGTGCACACCAGCGTACCTCAGGTGCTCGATGCTGAGGCCGTCGTGACCTGGAGACTTTCCCCTCTCCATTTTGTTTATTATGGAATGCACTTCCTTGGGTGAGAATCTAATACTTAATACATCCGAACTAGACCCCGCAACGGGCACCCGCAGCACAGGCACGAGTGGTGAGCTTATCCTGAAATGGCGCTGAAACGCGTTCGCTATCTCAGCGGAATCATGCACGCCAGCGACACTCACAGGAAGACTCGGTTTTGGATTTAATTTGTTTGTGTTTTTCCAATTTACCGAAATTCTTACATGAGTGATAATTTGCAATAATGTCCATTTTTATTTGTTTTGAATTTTTCTGACAGTATTTAAGTTTGCCTTTAAAAAGTTTCCTAGATTGATACATATGATTGTAAATATGTCCACTAGTTGGTTTACCGTACAATAACCACATTTCATAACAAAGCCGAGCCTCCCTTTGCGCACCGCTGACGTACTTGTTCCAACCAGGTATATATATATGCTTGTTCATATGCCCTCCATCCTTAGACTGCTTAAAACTACGTTCTGAAGCCTCTGTAAGTATACCTACAATATCATGATAAATAGTATCTATTAATAACTTATGGTTTTCAATGGAACAGAAATTGGAAGCACATTCAGTCAATTCATTAGGTAAAATAAATTCTTTTAGCTTTAAATTACAATATTCGAATTAAAAATTTTTAATTAGAATTTAAATTACAGTATAATTAATATTTGTTCATCATCTCTTTCCCTCCAAATTACTTTATTGTTAGACATTTTATAATTCAGTATTTTAGGTACAATCAAATCTATATTGCATTCAATTAATAATGGATAATGATCCGACCAATAAACATCATACAACACCGAAGCGGTCACTACAGTAAGTCGCGCCGCGCCGGTGAGTAAACAGTGGTCGAGCCAACGGCGGCGACACCCATGTGCCTCACTCACAAACGTATAGCTATCCGCGGGTAAATGCAGTAAATGCAGTAAAGAAGTAAATGCAGTTATGCCTTTGGTGCATTATTTCTGACTTTCGGATTTCGATAGAAGCTGAATTTGGTGGATCAAATATGTCAGGAACTGTTAGGAATCTTGTTACCCAATTAACGGAATCTTATGTAATTTTCAGTTCTATATCGTTATTGCGCAATGTTTCTGCTGAAATTAAAAGTCTCTTGGAGAAATGCCCATTAAATAGAATCTTTTAGTAAGTAATCAACTTCCACGAAAAATATTTTCCTTCGCATGAACCACAAATGGGTACCAACAAGAAAAGATCGGAGTGAAAATTAAAAAAATATTACAACAAAAAAAATTACAATGTTTATTACGGTATAAATACATAATTACAATGTTTATTACGGTATAAATACATAAGCACACTTATTTAATTTAACTAATACATTATACTATAGTTAACATATTGTAGTGTATTGAGGCAAGAATCGAAACATGCAAACTAAAAATTAAGTCGATAAAAAAACAAGCCATCTCGAACAATTTCACAGTGTGTATAACATGTACGTGTTACTATCACTAGATGTAGACGAATCGGAGTGTGGTGGCAGTAGTAAATAGGGTACAGCCTCTTGCGACTGCTCGGTTACAATGTCAAAGCAGCAAATACGACTGAGCCCCGGCGATGCTGCCCCTTTGGCAGGAATAGTAAAACCGTAAGTCGCGTTCTTCGGTTGCGACTTCGATTTGTTAGCCGATGATAACTCCGACCGTTGTCCTTTTATGTCTTCCTGTCCGTAAGACGCGGTACG